TTTTGCCCAGTTCTCAATAAACATCTAGCAAAGAGAACTTTCCCTGGAAAGCATAACTGGCCAGGTCAGTCTCCCCGTCTCTTCCTTGATTTGATTTAGCACTCTCAGTTGCCTTAATGGAAATATCCAGCTTTATACATATTTACTTCACATAAATATGTCATGTTCATAAATTATATACTGGATCCAAAGTACTATTATTCATTACAACAATGATTATTTGGAAAAAATCCCCTTCTCCTTGCAGGATTTCAACTCATGAGATTAAAAAGTGTGCATTTCACATTCCTCCCTCACACCTCTTATTTGCAGAAAATTGGAGAAATAACAGAAGGAATAAAAACAGCCACTTTTATCAGGCATATCTCCAAGTTTTTTGAATATTAACTTGTTTTGTTGGCATGGCTGGATTATAGGTCAGCAGAACCATCCCCAAATTCCTAATAAGGAAACACTTTTTTTTTTTTTTTTTAAATTTGTAGTGTTCTGCCAGAGTTAATCAGAAAAGGAGTAAAAATTTGTGGCTCTTCTCAATTTTGAACCCTGCCTTGACCCAAGGATGCCAGGATTTAGGGCATGCTCATTTTAAGTTAAGCACTAGGCTAAATACCCATGTCTCATGGATTGCCTCCTCAACAACCTGTCAGGTAAGTTGTATTATTATATTTCTGAATGAGGAGATTTAAGCTCAGACAGATGAAGACACTTTCTAAGGCTATAGATCTAGTGCTTAGTTAAGTAGAAATTTCAACTAAGGCCAAGAAATGGTCACCATTATTCCTGAGGTAGGTCAACATCTGAACTTAAACCAAACAGTCCCACAGGCTATGAGTAACACAGAACAAAGTGAACTCAGTAACACTTCACTATCAGAATGTTATCGTTGATAAGCAAACTCTAGCCTGTGGGCCATAGAGGAGGCAACATGTTCACACACCTGTCTTTGGCCTCTTTCCTGAGGCAATAGGAGAGGTGAGTACAGTAGTTGTAAAAGGGACTCTATGGCCCACAAAGCCTAAAATATATTTTCTACCTAGCTCTTAAGAAGAATTTGTCAGTATCTGGTGGTTTTGTTCTTTGCCCTTGGAAAGCTGTGAATTTCTCTGGCACAGTAGTTCAGAAAAGAACTGAGAGAAAGGTGCTTCCTACGGAGTGGGAGAAAAATGTAGGCTGTAAGTGTTTATCAATGGCCAGTGGGTCACTGAAGCAGTTCGAGAGTGAAATTCAGAGACCCTGAAGCGCTTGCAAAAGAAAATATGCTTGTCTCCATCTTTCCAGGTATTGTGAGGATAGGGCTTAATCTAATCGAATTATGTTACCATGGTATCATTTAGTCCACACAAATCTAAGGTTCTGGGCTATTACTAGGCCCTATTGGAGGAGGAAAGGACACAGAACAGTTTCTTGTTACAAAATTAAAGAAAAAATACCTTCCAGCTGCAATTATGGGTGTGTTTATACTGGACCTCACTTAGGTTAGAAAACAAGAGTTCTAAAAAAAGGTGTGGCAGGTTATGCTCCCTTGGCTTTTAGGCCAGATGTGAGTTCAAACCCTGGCTCCTCTGAACAGCTACTTCAGCACAGACTACAACTTATCCTCTCCAAGCCTCTCATGAGCCACAAGTGCTTGGTTCTTTCTGTCTTGTGTGTGTAAGATTCTTGCCAACAGGAGAATAAAGCTGTGAGGGGATGCGGCATTTGTATCTCCTAAAAATACATCACACAGTGGGATCATTTATGTGAGAGGAAGCCTCAGCTGGAAGGCTGGAGCTTGGCCAGCATTTGTGTTTTCTCTAACACAAAGATCTGTCTTAGGATATTCTGTAAAGACTTTTGAGAATATTGCCAAGCAAAACCATCCCATAATTAGAGGCCTCAGCCAGGCCATATGTCCTAGGAATGCTTGATGGGTTTATCATGTGGAACTGAGGAGGAACAGAAGCAGAACCTCTGCTGAGGACATTGCTGTGTCTGGAACCATCACAACTGTTTCTTAATCCAGCCAGCCCTTGGGTGTGGCCACAGTGGCTACGTTAGTTTTTCTTTATCCTTTAATGCTCAGCTCAGACCTATAGTAGAAAGATCTTTGAAGGCCTAAGTGATTCTTGGTCACTCCCTGCACTTACAGAGGGCTCTGTGTCTAACATTACATTAGATTGAAATATGTTCCCATGCCTGACTCCATGTAGACTTCCAGCTCTTCTGTGGACAACCCCCCTCCATATCTTAGAACACAGCCAGAATAAGAATCTGAAAACCTTACACAGTGTTTACCACATGCTAGACACTCTCTTATGCATGTTTCGCTGATTATTTTATTCTCATGCCGAATCCTGGAGACAAATACTATTATCCTAAATTTTATAATGAAGAAGCTAAGGCACAGAGTAGTTAAATAACTTGCCTCAACTCATATAGCCATAAAATGGCAAAGCTTGGTGCCTAGCCAGAATGTCTAACTCCAGACCCCCAAGTCAACCCCTGACCCTATCCTGATGCACATGTTACCAGCAAATGTTCACTCATCTGATCTGAATATTATTCTCACAGATGAAGCCACATATACATCTGGACTTGAAGGACAGAGAATAATTTTAAAGTCTCAGATTCTTAATAGGCTTCTCAGGACTTACATAAAAGGCAAATCTCTCAAAAAAAAAAAAAAAGAGAGAAGAAGAAGAAATCAATAGCTTTAATTTATACATGACACAAAATTCCATTTGACCACCAAAGCCCCCTGCAGAACCAAAGTCCCTTTAAGTATAAACATGGAATGGTTCTGTTTTAGTAATCAACTGTTCACTTCCTATGTACTTCCACCTAAAAGAACAGAAGCTTCTGGATGCAAAGTCAATGTACTTTTTGTTCTTCTTTTCTTAAATTGCTGGTGTCAGTCGTACGGATTCTGAGCACTAACTTACTGTCCTTAAAATAAACTACTGCCGGTGAAAGCCATCCCCAAAGCTGTTCTGCTTAAGCAATAAACATCACCAGAAGACACAACCACAGTTCATTTCTTTACCCAGGCACAGGCTTAACACAGGGCAGAACCGTTGCAGTTTCTCATGAAAGCACTGACTATTGAAAGTGAAAGAAACAAAACTAAGCAACAGACACCAGAAGGAAGTTTTATTACTGAGCTTCAATAGCCCTGTGTTTTCAGAATGACTGGGAAGGAATCTACTGTGTTCTGCAAGAACTGGGTTGAATGTGGAGGGTTATGACAGAGGCTGAGCAGACTCTGTAGTCATTCTGTCATTCTGTGGCGTTAGTACGCGTGAGGCCCTGGGTTTGATGCCCAGCACAGCAAAAAGCAAAAGAATACAAAAAGAACTTTACATTGCAACAATTCCCTCAAGTGCCCACTGAAATAATGATGACAATGATATAGGAATAATAAAATAATCATACATGCATGCCAAACTAATTATTTAAAAAACTTAAGTTGCCATGTAGTAAAATCAGATGCATTATTTAAAAATAGTAGAGGAGTATAGTCAACTTTAGTTCTATTTATTCATTTCTTGTTCCCTTCTCATATCATTTGGACTTCCTGCTGGAAACGTTCCTCTTGCTTGGCTTTGTGAAGTCCTTGTGGAACCCCAAGGAGCTCTGCCTGCCCTAATTTCACCATCGAAGTCAAAAGAAGCTTCTTTGGCCAGGTCTGTCATCTTAGCACACTGGCAGGCACTGCAGAACTAAGGTCAAGCTCAATCAAGAGGACTTTTTTCCCTAGGATTCTGATGTGAAGCTAGAATAAGTTTACCTTCATTCCCATTACTGAAAGGACACAGCAAGGACTGTCTGGGTCCCTGTTTCCTGTTTGTGACAGGTCAGGTTCTTGACATTCCTCTTAATTCTGTGTGTTTTCCTATGTTCTTTCAAAAGTCTCTCCTTTTCTTGAGTGATCTCAACTCTTTTGGTCATTTGTTTTCCACCAAAAAAGTGCCAGGTATCAGCTGAATGAACAGGGAACTGAGGGAACCATGCTGATTACATTGGCCAACTGGGTTATATAAGTGAGGACAGAAGGAGAAGAAAACACAGGTTGAAGGTCCCTGGGAGACAGGTAAATACTGTGTGGCAGGTGTGACAGTAGTAAGAGAGCCAGATACTGGTCACCAGGGCTGTGGCACAAGTGAGACAGACTAGGCCCCAGAGACACAGCATGATGAGTGAGTGACAGTCCCAAAGAATGTTATATTTCCTGACAGGTTCAGGGCTGTGGATTGACATTGGTATATTCTGAAACAGCTTCCATGCCACAGAAAACACTATCTGGAGATGAAAGAGTCTTTCACTTCCTTGTTCAAAATCAATGCTCAAAATAAAACAATTAGATTACAGATCACAAGGCATTTAGAACATTCTAAAGAAGTACACATATAGCCATCTCTCTTGCTGCGTGCTCACCTTTTCCAATAACTTGACTGAACGAGAAAACTAGGCTTACCAGTTTCATTTTGTTTACGGCTGATTTTACAGCTCAACTCATCATTAGGACTCTTTCCATTTGAATTCACAGACTCAAAAAACCTTCCATGAGCCTTGCTTTCATAAATTCACTTAGAATGAGCTCATGTTGAATTTTATATAATATAATTTTTTAAAAAACCCTAAAGTTAAAACTTAAAATAAAATATATCTTCCATTAAAACTTTACTAAAAGTGTCAGGTGCAGTGGAGCATGCTTGTAATCCCAGCGGCTGGGGAGGCTGAGGCAGGAGGATCACAAGTGCAAAGCCAGCCTAAGGCGCTATGCAAGTCAGTGAGACTCTGTCTCTAAATAAAATACAAAATAGGGCTGGGGATGTGACTCAGTGGTCGAGTGTCCCTGAGTTCAATCCCCAGTACAAAAAAAATAAAATAAAATTTTTTTTTTTACTAAATTTTCTAGATAAATCAACACCACCAACACCCATGCTATCTCATTTGCCGGTGCAAATTTGTAAGTGAACAAATAAATGGGAAAAAGTACACATTTACCTGTCTAATCATACCTGAATAAGGACTCTCTTGACAGCCAAATTTCATTCTGTTTCACAGTTTTCCAAGAGAACAGCAACAGCAGCAACACTGTGGACACAATCAGGGTGGTGGCCCCACATCGATTTAGCCAAGTGCAGAGCTTGCTCAACCCATGCACAAAAAGGATGCAGTAGCCCATGCTGGAAAACAGGGTGGAAGGAAACAGGGTTACTTTGGGGGATGCAGCAGATTCCCCCTGAGCATTCTATCCCATGTAACTAGCTTTCAACTAAAGCTCATTCTGTGCCAGAGAAAATACAAAGTCCCTTGTCTTGAACAACATTTTCCTGTTAGTTTTCTAAAGCTAACGCTTTGGTTTTAGTGTGGTACAAGTTCATGTTGTAGGCTCATGAAGAACAAGTTATATTGATGGGATTTTCTTGCTGATTCTGATCCAGATTTCCCAACAGGCACAAAGAATTCACATGTTATTTGAATGGGACTTTGGCACAATATTGTATCTCCAAAAGTCTTTTGCCTTGTAGAACATGGTCTCTCACACTAACAATGCACCCAGGGACTTTTCCAGCCTGCTAGTTAGACTCAGAACATAAACTTAGTTTGTACCCATTATTGCTGTGTGCATTTTAGTTGAAATGTGCTTCTTTTCAAAGATGATGACTAGTGGCTATTACAGAACATCTTAAGTCATAAAGAAGAATAAAATTATGGTGTCTTCCAGTAAATGGATTGAACGGGAGACTGTCATGCTAAGTGAAATAAACCAGTCTCCAAAAGTCAAAGGACAAACTCTTTTCTAATATGAGAAAGCTAATCTCAAATAAGGGGGCAGGGGTATAAAAAATAAATAAATAGAGAGAAAGAAAGGGGGAAAAAACAGGAGAGGAAATTTCATAAAAAATAGAGAAAATGCCAGGCACGGTGGCACATGCCTATAATTCCAATGGCTTCAGAGGCTGAGGCCCTAAGTAACTCAGCGAGACCTTGTCTCTAAATAAAATATAAAAAAAAGGACTGGGGATGCAGCTCAGTGGTTAAATGCCCCTGGGTTCAATCCCCAGTATTGAAACAAAACAACAAAAAATAGTCATAAATAAATAAACAAAAAAAGATCAGTGGAGTAGATGTAAGGAATTGAGGGGGAGGTGGGAAGAAAGAGGGATAGGAAAAGAGAAGAACAGTGGAATGGATCTGACTGAACTTTGATACATACATACATGACTATACCACAGTGAGTCCCAACATCAAGTATAACCACAAAACACTAATTAAAAAAATAAACTATAGTGAAATTGCAGAAAGTTCAGTAGAGTAGCCAGCCAGTGACTCAGAAGGCTAAGGCAGGAGGATCTCAAGTTCAATACCAGCTTCAGCAACTTAGTGAGGTCCTCAGGAACTTAGGAAGACCCTGTCTCAAAATAAAAAAATAAAAATAAAAAGAGCTGGGGTGTGGCTCAGGGGTTAAACACCCCTGAGTTCAACCCCCAGTACCAAAAAACAAAAACAAATCAGTAGTGCTGGGAAATGAATTAAAGTAAATCACATTCATACTTTTGTGATTATATCAAAATTATTCCTAATGTTACATATAGCTAAAAAGGACCAACTTAAAAAGAATAAAACAATTTTTTTTTTTTAATTGGCACCGGGAATTGAACTCAGGGGCACTTGGCCACTGAGCACATTCCCATCCCTATTTTGTATCCTTTTTTATTTTTTTAAGAGACAGGATCTCACTGAGTTGCTTGGCACCTTGCTTTTGCTGAGGCTGGCTTTGAACCCGTGTTCCTCCTGCCTCAGCCTCCTGAGCCATGGGAATTATAAGTGTGCATCATGAATGAAGCAATCTTGCATAAAGAAACCCTACATTAGAAACTAACACCACCAGAAGCCCAAAATAAATATAGTCCATATATTTGTTCAATTATTTTTTCATTTTTTTCTTTTATGTGACTTCCAATATTCTAGGCACTAAAAACACAATGAAGAATAAAACATAAATAACTCTAGTCTGTGAATGTGGTTGGTCTTCTAAAGGGAAACAACAAAATAGTCTATTCATAAACACATATTCTTTGAAAACACATCTCTCTTCCTTCTTTTCTCCTTTCCAAATATGCTTTGGTATCAAAAGTAGAAAAGTGGAGCGGGTACTGAGGTCTCTCACCTGGAGACCTTGAAGTCAAGTTAGAGCTCCATTTCCTCACTTCAAGTCCTGCAGTCAGTTGATCCAGCTCCCTAAAGTTTTAGGGTTCACTCTTTGGCCAACAGGAGTCCCTGAAGATGATGACTTGAGCTAAGGAGGCCCATGTCCACCATCCCCACACAAGCCCTAGACTTGATTGCCGCAAGTATAAAACAACCCCAAAATACAAATCCCCAAAACTTCTTACTGCTTTCACAACTCCTATGTTTAGCCTTAACAGTGGGAAGCTTTTCTACAAATCTTTTGTTGCTGCACAACTGAGCACACTAGTGTTAACTTGCCTGACCACAAATGGTTGCTCAACTTCATAAGGTTGCTGGCCTCCTGTTCCTGCAGTCAGATCCCCCCAAGATAAGCAGGATGCTTCTAGGGCCATATGAAGGTCCTCTGGGCTCCATTTGGTCATTTATCAGATAGTTAACGCACAGCTACTAAATGGCAAATAGTATTACAGGCATCAAGGACTATCAGGGAACAGACTATAATCTTTATCCTTAAGGAATGCACATGGGTGGGGAGAAATAGTTAATAAATAGGCAAATAAATATAGAACATGCACAAAATTATATGTTACATGGATAAAAAATTAAGCAGGGAAGAGCTTGAGATTTTAATATAGGTGGTCAAAGAAAGCCTCACAGACTTTAGAGCAAAAGAACTGAAACTCAAAAGTGTGCCACACAGATACCTGCATCTCCAACATCAGCGCTCTTCCCATTTTTGCTTATGTTAGGCGACATGGCTAAGAGCCAACATTTATAGAATCAATCTTTTTTTTTTCTTTTTTTTGGTACTGAGGACCTCTGAGCCATGTCCCCAGCCCTTTCATTTTTTATATTGAGACAGGGTCTTGCTGAGTTTCTGAGGGCCTCGCTAAGTTGCTGAGGCTGGCTTTGAACTTGCCATCCTCCTGCCTCCGCCTCCTGAGACACTGGGATGAAATCAATCTTTACATATACCAAGTATTTTTTCTTTTCTTTTCTTTTTTTTAAAGAGAGAGAGAGAGAGAGACAGAGAGAGAGAGAGAGAGAGAGAATTTTTTAATATTTATTTTTTAGTTTTTGGCGTACACAACATCTTTGTTTGTATGTGGTGCTGAGGATTGAACCCGGGCCGCACGCGTGCCAGGCGAGTGTGCTACCGCTTGAGCCACATCCCCAGCCCCCAAGTATTTTCTATATTTAATTTCAGTACCCCTTCACAACTCTATTGATCACATTATTAACCTGAGAACCCTGTGAAGAAGAGAAAGGTTAACTTGCTACATTTGGTCATATATCTAGTAAATGGCAGAGCAAAAATACAAACCCAGATTTCAGATTCCAGGGCCACACCCTATCTGCTGTCCTACAACAGGGATTGTGACTTGACAACCTGATTCCTGTATTCCTCACAGCTTATCAGAGACTATTTTCCTCCTACCCACTCCATTCAGGGCATCGTCGTTGACTGCTTTCTTGTGGGAATTGGAGCTGCCATCTAAAGAAACAGGAGGGAAGGAGGTGGTTGGAATTCCAACAATCCACAGTAATGGCCACAAAGTGGCAGAAAACGACAGATACAATTAGCTATTTTATATGTTCACATGTTTACTGAGCACGTTCTACATGCCAAACACCATGCTCAGTACTTTTATGGGACTTTTTACAAATCTGTAGGGCCTGGGGCAAGACCAGTGCTTTACAGATACGACCTCAATTAAACATTTTATCCCCAGTATCCTCCATTTCATACTTGAGGAAACTAAAGTTTAGAAGAGTTAAAAACTCACCCACAGCTCCAAGTGCTAGTGATGAACCAGACCTGACCACTTAAACATTATGCTGTTATCTAGAGGTTGGTAAACTCATTTTGGAAAGGGCCAGGTTGTAAGTATTTCAGGCTTTTTAGGAGTTGGACCTCACAAAACAATATCCCAGAGTTTGGGGTTCTCACAGGCTGAACTAAAAGAAGCAGCTTCAAGATCTGTCTAATCTTTCCATCTCCCTGTTTCTCAATCCTCTTTCCTGAAACGCAGGGAAGGCCTTTCTCTGAAGTTCCCTTATCTATATAAAGACTGACCCAACAAAGAGGAACATGAGTGCCTTTCATCCTCTTACAAAATTGTCATTAATGGAGGAAGATGAAACCCACAGCACAGAGGGAGAGACTGAAGATCGAATAGTACACGTAGAGCCCAGAGAGCTTTGTCCCAGGCCACTGCCAGTCCTTAGGCCCACTCAGCTCCCCGAACAATCACTGAATGCCCTCTACAACTGCTACTTGCCCCACTTCTCTCTCTCCTATGATGAGAAAATCTAAGCTTCAGCCATCTGTCCTTCTCTGAGCTTCGGATCACATGTGGCTCCTACATACATGTACACATCAATAAATTCATATGCCTTTTCTCCTGTTAACCTATTGTCAGTTCATTTCAGCAGACTTCCATATTCAGACCTGCAGAGGGGAAGCTCCTTTCACTCTCATGCAGGCCGTGAAACTTTTGTCATTTTTGATCTACTTTGTAGTGGGAAAGCAGCCATCACACCACAAAAACGAATGATGTTTCAATAAATCACTTATAGAAACAGACAGTAGGTCAGTTTGACTCATGGGCCATTCAGTTGGTTGACCCTGCTTGGCCAAATGAAGGTGAGCCCATTCCTCTCCATTTGGCATGGGCATCTGTATCAAGTAACATGGTCTTTTTTCCCAAAAGTCCTTGCATTGACACATGGTTTAAAGAAATGTTAAACCATAGAAAATAATTTCTATTTAGCTTTGTAAATTTCTTAGAGAGTATCACATTCTTAAAAACCTGACACAAATATCACAGAAATCAAGATGCTTCTCTATTATGAGGATCCATCTTTCAACATCTGCTCTAATGCAGTTCTTAGCAGCAGGGGAGAAAAACACTCTCTATATGACTAGGGGCAGGACAAGGCTTCATGTTGAAGTGGAAAATCAAGCAAAAGAGAAACTGCATGCTTT